TCTCTCTCTCTCTCTCTTCTTTTTTTTTTTTTTTTGCTTCACCCCCTCTTCTTGGGCTCTGAGGACCACAAAAGGAGTACTGGCAGGCTATACCTTTTCCACCACTGCCCTAAAGAAACCTTCTCTAGCATGGTAATGTCCAAATGGGTTAGATTTCAATTCTCATTATCTGAGCACCAAGAGGTTAAAGAACCCCTTCCTAAAGCTGGTTATGCTAGAACATGGTCATAAAACTTCCAACTAAGATGATCCCCATTCACCTTCAAGTTCAGATCCATCTTCTGGGGTCAGCTCCACAACCAACTCCTTATCTTCTTCATCACTCGCCAGCCAACGATGGGGTGCAAAATGATAAATCTCCATAGTATCTGTCTCCTTTGTCTCCTCTTCTTCTTCCTCTTCTGTGGATTTCTTTTTCTTCTTTCTATTCTTCTTTTCTGTCTCCTTTGTCTTTGTCACCATTTTCTTAATGATGATTTTTTCCAAGAACCATCCATCTCCCAAGCCTGTCCCATCATGGCCAATTCGGATCTTATAGATTCTGCCAACTTCAACAGCTTCTATCTTTAACAGGAATAATAAATCTTAGTGGTAAAATAGCATTTCAGGTTTTTGAAAAGAGTGTTGCATACCACTAACTCATTAATCCTGATAATAATATAGAATTTTTACTTTATAGTGCAGATTACTGAGTTGAAAGGAGGTTTGAGGTACTGCTGCTGCCAACTAATGAGTCTGTGTGTGAGTCAAATTTGGAACCTAGGCTTTCTCACCATACCTGGTTAACCAATAAAGCTCTAAACAATTCTGATTTGTTTTCAAACAGATGCTTCAGAATGCACGGGGCACAAATGTTTGCACCTACCTGTAGCTCCTTAAAGCAACTACCTTAAGTGAAGCTCAGTCCTATTAGCTAATAGCAAGCACCCAACATCTGATCTTAACTCATCTGGGATCCTGAGAAATTCCTTCTTTGGCTAATATTGCCATTTCCCAGGAAAGGAGCACACACATTTAGTGCAATATGGTGGCCATAAAACCTGGAGGAAGAAAAAAAAAATCTATGGTGGAATTCATCCTTTGAATGTACCTTTTAGGCATCTCCAAAGGTCTATCTATAATTCTGAGAAGGGGCCCTTCTAAAAGACCATGGGGTCCAACTCCTTACTCAGTGCAGGAATCCAAATTAAAGCATGATGGCTATCTAGCCTCCATATGAACACATACAATGAAAGAGAGCCCACCATCTCACAGGGTAATTAGTTCCATTCTTCATGTGCTCTTACTGTTAGGATTTTTTTCCAACATTTTTGGGGATCTACTGAAGTACTTTATTCAATGTGCTGTATCCTGGATCAAGAGAGAACAGGTCTCGGCCTTCTATGTGATCTTCTTTTAGATACTTGAAGAATGCTATTATATTTTTCCTCACTCATCTCTTCTCAGAGCTAAACATGACTGGCCCTTCGATCTCTTTTCATGGCATTTAGTTTCTGCTCCTCTGTTTATCCTTATTGCCCTTCTCAGAATCACGTATGCCTTCCTCAATCTGGCATCTGCCTAGAGAATACTAGAAATTGAAATCCCAACCCAATTTGAGGATGCTAGTTGGAAAAGCTGACATAAACAATATGGAGGCAGATGAACATACACCATGTCTTATTATATGGTACCCCCACCTTTCTAAAGATTCACAATTAAATTGTGTGACCAGCTATGCCATCCTCTGGCTTACTGCCACATTCCTGATGGAGGTAAAATCCATCTGCTGGCACATAAACCCAACCCCCATGCTTTTTACAGGGAACATGAATGTAGAATGGAAAAATAATAACTATCATTTTGTTGTTTAGTTGTTAAGTCGTGTCCGACTCTTCGTGACCCCATGAACCATATTGCGCCAGGCCTTCCTGTCCTTCACTGCCTTCCTGAG